GTGTACTTTATCATGATTAGCCTATCATATCTATTTAATACCACACAACCAATTGAAAGCTGGAAAATTTGGTCAATTAACCTGTTGATTTTTATATATGATACCAATTGATTTTTCGACCAAACTGACACAGTATATCAAATGTTCTAATGCTGTACAAATGCACAGCATTAGAACAGTGCATACTTCTCAGTCATCTTGGTTCTGTATTAGCTGGAGGTATTGTGGCAAGAGAAATTGTGTTCGGCTCACACTTCTCTATGCTGAGCTATAACTAGAATGCAGTAAAATAGTAACTACCATAACAGACACAAAACCCTTCATATTACTTTCAAAGGGTAAATTTTTTTTTATTGTTGGCATCTTTAACACCTAAATTTTGAGCTTGCTGGACTTTTTTAAAAATTTATTTATTTTAGAGAGGGGAAGGAAGGGAGAAAGAGAGGGAGAGAAACATCAATGTGCAGTTGCCTCTCATGCACCCCTTGTTGGGGACCTGGCCTGCAACTCGGACATGTGCGCTGACTGGGAATCAAACCCATGACCCTTTGGTTTGCAGGCTGGTGTTCAATCCACTGAGCCACACCAGCCAGGGCTGGACATTTTTAAATGCAGTAAATGTAAATGTTCACTTCAAAAAGTAATATGATTAATTTTGGCCAGAATAAAATAAAATGTTCTCACCATCTTTAAAGAAATCTGGCCACATGAACAGACAGCTACCAGTGTTTAATCTTGCCCAGTAATGAGATCTACCCAGAGATCATAGAGAACCTGCTGTAAGTGGGTCAGAAGGAGGGCTTCAGGTTGAGACTTTCCTTTTTAAAAAAAAAAAAATTACTTTGGAAAAAAAACATGTGTTCATATCCTTCCTACTTTTAGAAAGGAAAATTACATTTTGGCTTCTACATGTAGGCTCATTTCATAAGCTGAGATCAGAGAATCACATGTGGCAGGAGGGATTCACGCTTGCCACTCTGGATGGTGGTGAATCAAGGTTCCAGCAGTGAGTTAGTTCATACTTACTAGGGTTACGACAGTGAATTGTAGCATACTTTACTTAATGACATCCTGACTTACAACTGTAATTTTTTAAATGTTGAAATTAAAACTTCTTTTTATTAAAATTATTATGCCCTCACTGACATGATACTGATAAATCTGCTTATCTTAATCCAGACCTCTTCAGCTTGGGCTGGGGGAGTCAGTCCTCATCTCTAAGCATTGTAACAAGAAAATCAGCCCTGGCTGGTATGGCTCAGTGAATTGAACACCAGCCTGTGAACCAAAGGATCGCAGGTTGAATTCCCAGTCAGGGCACATGCCTAGCCTAGGTTGTCGGCCAGGTCCCCAGTAAGGGGTGCACAAGAGGCAACCATACATTGATGTTTCTCTCTCTCTTTCTCCCTTCCCTTCTCTCTAAAATAAAATCTTTTTTAAAAAAAGAAAAAATCAGCTGACCCTTAAACCAAGGGGATTTTTTAGAGACCCATACATTCTTCCTACCCCTCACTTTCAGCACTAGTAAATTACCTGCTTTAGGCATTTAACCAAATGAACGGGAGAATGAAAATATTAAAAGCTGACCTTTCTATCCCTGACCAGTGTGGTTCAGTTGGTTGGGCATCGTCCTGCAAAGGAAAAGGTCAATGGTTTGATTCCTGGTCAGGGGACATGCCTGGGTTGTGGGTCCAGTCCCTGGTTGATGCATGTACTAGAGGCAACCAATCGATGTTTCATGTTGACATTTCTCTCCCTTTCCCTCTCTCTAAAAAGAAATAAATAAAATATTTTAAAAAATAAAATAAAATATGACCTTCCTATGTCAGATGATGAACTAATTTCCAAACTATGAACTGTCAGAGGAAAGCAAACAAAACCCCCCAAAAGCCTACAACAAAGCAAGTCAAGAGTAGTTTCTGTAAACCTGCCTTAAAAAAACATCCTGCTCTCTAAAGTTCTTTCTTCAGAAGCACAAATTTGATTGAGAAAGTAGCTCAGTTGGTTTGTTACTGAGCAAGGAGTGTGCATGGGGCAGGGTTGTGTGCACAAATTTATAATCATTATTTTAAGTTATAAGTCTCAGCATAGAGAACAGATGAAGATGGTGGAACATTGACTAAACAGTTTAAGACATTTTGTAATTTTAGTTCTTCTAGTCAATGTCTGAAGTACTAGAAAAAGTACTGAAGCAATTTCCAAAGCATCAGGAATTTCCATTTCCACCCAAAGTATTTGTTTTCTTCCAACATTTCTCTGTTAAATAAAAGAAGGAAAATTTCCACTTGTGTATGAAGTGTTTTCCCCTTTATTTTACAGGTTGATAGTAACACACTTATGGGTCAAAAACGCATGTATAGAAGCCTTTCCTTCCTAACCTTGTTTATAAATCTACCAAAGCTCTCCAGTCAATGCCCTTCTTGACACTCATCCTGTTGGGGTGAAACTGCTGTTTCATGGTGTCCATAACCCAGGCAGTTGTTTGATTTTTAATAATGCCAATGCACTTCTTTGATGTTGTGTCTAAGATGTGATTATTTAAAGTTTACCAAAATGTTTTAGAATAGCGTAACTTTCCATTGGCTGACTGGATTGTGACTTCTTCTGTGGTCTTGATTTTTTAAAAAGTGCTTTCTGTCAAACACATCCATTCAGAGTATATTTGTATGTCCTGCTGCTTAACAACTAAAGAGTCATCCAAAACAAGGACATCCTGAGAAACTGTCATGGCCAAGAGGAGCTTAAAGAACCATGACAACCAATGTAATGTGGTATTGTTGAGGAGAGACCTGGCAAAAGACATTAGGGAAAAACTAAGGAAATCAGAATAAACAAAATAATGGGCTTTAATTTGCAATACTGTGTCAGTGCTCATTCATTAATTATTAACAAAAGTACCAACAAAAGTAGTGTAAGCCTGCCTTTATTTATTTAGCTATTTATTCATAAGAGAGAGAGGAAGGGAGAAAGAGAAGGAGAGAAACACCCACCCATGGCTCCCCCCTCTCCTGAACAGGGACCAAATGTACAACCCAGGCATGTTCCCTTATGGAGAATCAAACCGGGGACTTTTCGCTTTGCCAGACAGCGCCCAACAAACCGAGCCACACTGGCCAAGGAAGTAAAACAAGCCTTTAACAGGGGAAACTGGGTGTGGGGTGTAGAGGAATTCTATACCATCTTCTCAATTTTTTGTCAATCTAAAACTCTTCCAAAAAGTTACAGAAAGTTATATAAACTGTTCTAAAAATAGTTTATAAGATAAAAAACTAACGTTATTACTTGAACTTCATTTGTTTAAACTTTTTACTCTTTCATCCATTTGTTTAGCTGTTTTTTCCACTCCCTAACAACCTTTTGTTTTCATGACTGCTGGGGAGTCTTGCTGGGTGGCACACTTGACCGGGTCTAGACACTTGGGTTCTGAATCCATGCGTTTGGGTGAAGGTCTTTGCGTTTGTCTCTTTCTATTCTTATTCTAAAAGAGTATGTCTGACACCCTAGCCAGCTTGGCTTAGTTGATTGGGTGATGTCCAGTGAACCCAAAGGTCTCCAGTTCAATTCCAGGTCAGGGCACATGCCTGGGTTGCTGGTTTAGTCCCAGTCTGGGCGCTTATGGAAGGCAACCAATCTATGTCTTTCTCAGAGGCTGTTTCTCTCCCTCTCTCCCTCCCTTCTCCATGTACCCCCTCTAAAAAAAAAGAAAAGAATGTGTCTGGCATCTTTTAAATGTATCTTTTCATCTGATTCTCCAGAAAATATTATATCTGTCTCAAAAAAATTAAAGTACATAAATGTTATTTTAAATTTACAGTAACATGGTATCTTAACAACCTGTAAGGTCAATATCCTGAAATGAGGTATGTGACTATAATTAATCCTACCAGCTTTATTAGAGCAAATGCAAACATAAAATGTGTCAAAAGGCCAGTTCATGAAGCAAGTTGAGCCACCCTCCAGCGGGTCCCAGAGGAAGTATTGTGCGAGGGTGCGGTGTGGCTTAGGGTTCTTTAGGACACATGCAGGTAAGAAAGCCAGCTCTGCTGCCTCAGGCCAAGGGGTTTGGATATGCGCTGACTGTCTTACTGAGTTTTCTGGAAAAAGCTCTGGGGAGAAATGTGGTGGGCAGAGGAGGGAACCGGGCCTGCTCTGCTTCAGATGCTCCCGGGAAGCCGGTCAGAATGGGTGTTACAGATCGGCAGGCCTGATCCTGCCCAGGTGAGGTCGGGGACTCAGCTGGCAGTGGTGCACTCCCACCCTTTACCCTGTGGAATCAAGGGCGTATGGGCAGGTCGCCCAGACAGGTGGTAGGTGGAGGTGAGCAGGCAAACCGCCACATATACGCTGCAGCTCCCTGGAAGGACAAGCGTGTACACTGGGTAGACCTCATCAGAGTACCCCTCATGACATCTCCCAGGCAGCCCTTTGCTTCTCTTTACCTGTCGATTCCCTCCATTTTCCTGATTTGAATGTCCACTTTGTTTGCCCTGAGCTCTAACGAGCCCTCAGAAGGTCTGTGGCCTGGCTGTCCCTGGGTCACCCTTTCCAGTTTGGATTCCCAAGAAAGGGAATTGGATCTATTGACTCCTTGCCACCAGATGTATCTGGTGGGGCTTTGTGGTCCCAGGTCTTCTCCCAGCTTGCAGGCCAGCTCACCCCATGACTGCTGGCTGGGTGGTCTAGTCAAGGGTGAGAGGGGCCTGCAGGAACCCATGGAAGGAAGTGGGTCTGAGGGAGTGCTGTGGCCAGGGCAGTTCCCCTTAGACTGACTTGCCTAGTCAGCAAGCACCTACCCTCAGGACTCTGAATTTTCCATTGGAAAACTGTACACTGTTTTTAAAGACACTGAGCTCAGAAAATGGATCATCTTTCATAGTTCAGCAGTTTCCACAGAGCACTTAATCAAAAAGCTAGGAGTTGGCTGTATCAGATGCAATGTTATACTCTGGCCACTAAGATGAACAATTTCTTTTTTAATTGACTAAAAAGAAACCCTGTGATTCCTCTTCCAACTTTCCTTTTAATTTTGGGGGAAGAACAACTTAGGTGGGGGGCCATTTTAAAATTTTCTTGTTGCCAGATTTGGGTGCAGACATGCAGAACTGATAGGATTGCCACATTTCAATGGGCCTGACGACGCCCCTGGGGTGGGGGTGGGGGAGAAGCAGAGGGGAGAGTACAAGTTTCTTGGACGGCCCCAGACTCCTAGGAGGCTTGCTAGGCCACATCATGTTTTCCTCCAGTCAAGAACACCTGTTGCTTTGTTCCAGCCTCTTCTTTGGAGAACAGAAGCTCTACTTCGTTTGGCAACTGCTCCTCTCTTCACTTCAGTGGAGCGAGGCTATAGTTACTGCACATCTCTTGGATGCCAGCTGATTAGTCCAGAGTGGCTCCTGATGAGAAATGGTGGATCAAAGGCCTTTACCAGCATTCTTTGAACTGGAACTTGGAAGGAAAGTATCCCCGTCTCATGGCCTGGACATTAAGATACGAAAATTAATGTATGGTATCAGGTGTGTACTGGAAATATCAGAGGGCACTGTGTAAAGTATATGATTGTCTAACCACTATAGTGTACACCTGAAACTAATACAAAATAATGCTGAATGTAAACTGTAATTGAAAAATAAAATTTAAAATATATACAAAAACTAAGAGCTACTGACAATATAATCACGGCTATATGGTGGAAGTCAGTGAGAATGAGAGGTAATAATGCTGTGCTACAGAGAGCAGCAGACTGGAGACGCAGAGGCCTGGTGGTGTCACTGTTCCTGACATGTAGCTGTACCTGTCCTTTCTGTAGCTTGGCCCTTCAGCCCTTACTTCAGTATGCGAAATGCCCCAGTGCTTCCAGTGATGCATGAGTATGTCAGTTTTCTATCACTGCCAGAATCAATGCACCATTGCCTGTGCGTCTTGGTGTCACTTCTCCCAGTTCTAAGTCTAGGGCAGATCTGTCTGAATGGCTGAGACTAGATCATCTCTGCCTGTGCCTTACTTTCAAGAGAGCTAAGAAAGCAAGACTTTTCAGCTTCTGTTGGGGGGAGGTGGCCCCACCTCCCACCAAGGTGCAAAGGGTAGGGGATCTTCAAATACGGAAGAAAGACCATGATCCAGGCAGCCCCACATCCTCAGACCACTCCAGGGAGTAAGAAACCAAGGGTGCAACACCATTCTTGTAAGAAGCGTGGAGAGGAAAGGCAGTGGTAAACTATGGGAACAGAAAAACCAAAGGATCCTTTCTTTTCTTTTTGGTAAGATTAAGGGGCCTGAGCAGTTTTGTAGATGAGAAACAAGGAAGTCTCATGACAAGACAAAAGTAGCTGGCACTCCATTCCGTCTATACAGCAGCAGAACGGAACTGTCCGAGGACAAGACCACTTTGGACAAAAGGACACCACTTCCGAAATAAAGGAACTAGAAGCATTACTAATGACTCGTCAAAAGACTCAGATATCTGTTGTCTTTAATTAACATCTAAATAGATACCATATTCTTCTGTAATTATAATATGGAAATGTCTATGAACATAATAAATTTTTTGGCAAATGCCTAGAAAAGATTGGTCAAGTTCATCCAAGGTTGTCAGCAGCAGTATCTCTGCAGTGGAGGTATGGTCAGCGTTTGGGGACAGAGGTAAATATCCGCAATCCGTGCATTCCTTTGATTTCCTCTTTCAGAGCCTAAATAAGTAAAAGAGCACCATCATTTCTTTTGTATTTGACACTGATTATAACAAGTCCCTCTGAGAGTATCTTTATATAGCTCTATATCTGTAGAAGACTTTGCACACACGTTTTGTTTAAGTAGTTTTTCCTTTTTTGGAAAACAATATATTAAAAAAGATTTTTGAATCAGCATCTAACCTGGCTCAAAAATAAAAAAGACACAAAAGTCGCAGTGACATCTCCCCGCCACACCTGTCCTCTACCCTCAGTCTCCACCTCCATCCCCAAACAGAGAACTGCTGCTAGTTTCTGTGTCTTTGCAAGGATTTAAAAATGCATATTCAAGCTCATATGAATGTATATTCCACCTCACACTACCTTTTTAAAATAAAAATGGCAGCACTTCAAACACAGCGTTCCACACTTTGCTCCCTGCCAACCACGGAGATCTTTCCGTATCAGCCGTAAAGAACACCATCTTGTTTGTGTCCGCACAGTGTTCCACTGTATGGATGTACCAAACTTTTCAGTCCATCCCCTAATGATGAACTCTGAGGCTTTTTTTTGTGCTTTGCTATTTTGAACAACACACAGCTATTCTTTAAATCCACCCTATCTAGCCCAAATGACCCAATTTTACTTTAAAAAATAAAGTTAGAAAATAATTATAAGACTTGTTTAAGGCTACAAACAGTGTCAGGGCACAAACCTGAATGAGCGCCACAGTCAAACGGACATCATTTCTCTGCCGTGCCAAGAGAGGAGCTACAGGACCCGAGGGAGGCACGGACCACTGGAGTTTGTAATCAGTGCAGAGGGAGACTCAAAGTTCTTTATATTAGATCCAGATCTGATCATCACAGTGGGGTGGGCATTTTTCTTCCATTCTGTCCAGCAATCTCTTTTCTCCTGGGGAACGTTCCTTAAACTGTGTACTGCTGGTGGGACTACCAACTGGCCTGGTATTGAGGGCGCCTGCAGTCTTGGCCCAGCCTGATTGGTTCAGGTGTGGTACATGATCCAAAATGGGCCAATCACAATCTCCCCTGGGATTTTTTTAGAATAGTGCCTTCTCTTGTCCATTTTGGACAATTGGCCCAAAATGGGAATGATATATTGGAATAATGTCAATTGGAGGCAGCTGGGGGCCACGCTGCCCACCAAGAAGCAAAAGCCTATCTCCAGTAGGAGAAAATGAGGCTGACACACAGAAGGCGAAAGTTTATAGAGGACAGGAAAAAGTGCAAGCAAATGAACTTAAGACTCTGAATCTAGATATGCTAGAAACCAGATAACAAAGGCGCCAATTCATTCCCTTTGTTTGCTTATGTTAGTTTTAACTTGCTCTCTGTCACTTACAGGTAAAAGAATCCAAATACATGTGGTCAGGTTTATCAAGTAAGGAGAGATAACCTAGTCCTCTCCCCTTCTTAGCTGAAAAAGAAATAGAGAGTTTACCCCTTGTCCGAAGCCTTCAAGTGACTAACAGATAAGACCCAAACCTGGATATCCTGATGTCCTGGCCACTTGTCTCCTTTGGGTTCCCGTCCAGCCCTGATGCCCCACCATCTCCACACTCACATCCAAGCCCCCTCAGCTCTACAGACAAGCAGCAATGTCCCCTAGGCCACATGTTCTCTGCTTTCTGCAGGCACAGAATGCTTCCTAGAGGTTGTCCCTGTGTCTATGTCAAGGCTACAATCCCTAAAGCCTGCATGGCTAGACGAGGGTGCAGTCACACCTTCACACAAAAGCCTTGACTTTGTGCCCTAAGTGATGCCTTCTCCCAGCTCTCTGGCAGCCCTTTGAGGGCTCCCCAGCACAATCCACAGATCTTACAGCTACAGAGGGCTCCTGGGTCAGTTTACAGGTGAGGAAAATGAGGCCCTAGAGGGAAAATGAATTGGCCAAAGTTTATTGGCCACAGTTTATGAGATAGAGCTTGGGTAAACATTTTTCAGCATCCGCTATGCCCAAAGCATTATTCTGGGAGCTGGGGGCACAGATAAAAAGTCTTGGGAAAATGATGCGAAAGGTAAGGGAAGTAATACAAGTGCACCAGAAATGGTGGTGATGGGCGCTGCCAGACCCCCAGCCAGCTCAGGACAGTGGTGGCTGTTCCCAAGAGGGAGTATCTGCTATTGCACTGGCCATCTGCAGATGAGGCAGCCCAGGAGCTGACAGCTGGGAGTGGAATGAACAGACAGGGACAGGGCATCAGGCCCAGGAGTGCAAGGTGAGAAAAGGATGGGAACACACTGCGATTCACCAGGAAAAGCCTGGCTTCAAGTCAGGTGCATGAGGGGGCAGACTAAGACAGGCCGTACAGGGGATTGGGAATCCCAGGCCAGGAGAGGGGGAGCAGACTCTGTGGGCAACCAGCACACACACTGAAGAGGTCTGAGCTGGGGAGACACAGACGGAGGCACCCTTGGTGGTGGGAGGGAGGTGATGAGCACCAGACTGGAGGCCAAGAAGGGGAGAAGGCAACTGCTATTTACCAAGTGCCTTCCACATGCCAGCATGAGGCTGGGCATGTGTGGTCAATACCTCATGCGCTCTTTGCCAAAGAGGAGATCAAGGCTCAGGTCCCGCTGGGGACCAGAGAGCCTAGTAGGTGCTCACTCCTCTCCCTACAGCTGTTCCCTAGGGCAGGAATAGGATGGGTGGGGGAGAAACACTGGTCATCCTGGCATCCCTGGGGCCTGGCCCAAAGCAAATGCCAGTGACTATTTCAGAAGAGAAGGCTGATGAACCATGGGAGCTGGGAGAGGCTGGGACACAAGTCAGAGGGGTCCCAGAAGGACAGTGAACTCACTACTGAGGGTGGCAGGCCTGGCCCCCCGCCTCCCTACTCTCCACAGGCCATCAAGCAGGGACCGGCCTGGAGGAGCGAAGTGGCTGCTGTTCCACCCCAGACCGCCCTGACTACGGGCACACCTTCAGGCTGTCGGTGCCCACAGGCAAAGTGAAGGGTTGGGCTCGGCAACAATCCAAACAGAGATTCAGAAGGGGTCATCCAACACAGGGCTGACAGGGCTAAGGGACAGAAGTGTCCAGGATCCGAGGCAGAAAATGCTAGAGTCAGAGGGTGGAAGGCATTTATGCCTGCCGGGCAGGTAGAGAGGCGGCATTTAAGCTGGGCAGAGAAGGAAGGGCACCCTGCAGGAGGTCTGATCTGGGCAAAGATCCAGATGCACAGAGACCAACAGGCAGGGGCTCAGGGAGGATGCGTGCCAAGGCAGGTGGGGAAGGACTCAACAGCAATCTGGTACATCTGAACTTGATGCATAAGGGGCCACAGAAGGAATCTCATGGCCAAAACTGTGCTTTACAAAAGTTAAACTAGTTCACAATGTTCAAAACCTTCCAGAACAATGTCAAAACTGCTATTAATTCCAAGTAAAATAAGCATAGATAATAAATAAACTTGGCCTTGTATGGTTAAATCTGCTATTTCCAACCCCTACTGTCTGTCATTGGATCTGGGACAGCTGGAATAATTCTCAACCATGCTGTGCCTCAATTTACCCATCTGTAAAGCAGTCCTAAAGAGAGGCTAAAAAAATACTCAAATCTACAAAAATATATCTTTTAGTACTTTTATACTTGTTTTCAATTTTGAATAAAAGTCATGTCATATTCGCCCACAATCAGATTCCAGACAACATTTTTCTTGGGTCCTAAGTCCGGTATGCATGGCTGCAGCACTGCATTATTCTTTCCCAGGACTGCAAGTAAAATGCCATTGCCACTCGGCAGGCCCTTTTGGACGGAGGAGGCAGAGGAACATTTTTGCCTCTACTGACCTGGTTTACCATCTGGTGCTGCTGGACAGTCCTCTTCTCCTTAAATTCTTCTGACTCAATTTGAATTTCATACATTGCCCCACAGCCTCCTGAAATAAATGCAATTTGAAAGCATTTCAATTATTAAGTTAGGGCAGCCACAGGCCCACATGTCCTTGAAGTTCCGTACGACCTCAAGAGGCTCTAAATACTACTGATCAGCAGAAAGTTGCTAAGACTGTTGGAAAAAGGTCATGGCTTACAATCTGGCCACACACTCCCCCTGGCAGGCTGTCTCAATCCAGAGCGTGTTCCCCCTCGTGCAAGAGAGTTGCACCTCCCAGGATTATTACTTATGAGATAGGAAAGATACGGCACAAAGTATGGAAAACACAGGAAATGTAGGTTTTCCTAGTATTTCCTTTCATTAAGCCAACAAATGCCATGGAGGAGGGTGGGAGGGCCTGAATTTCAGTGTTCCACCTTCAAAAAATACTAGCAATCTTTTAAAGTACAAAAATATACAAGCTATGGCTGGTGTGGCTCAGTGGATTGAATGCCAGCCTGTGAACCAAAGCATCGCCAGTTCGACTCCCAGTCAGAGCAAATGCCTAGATTGTGGGCCAGGTCCCTGGTAAGGGATGCACAAGACACAACCACACATTGATGTTTCTCTCCCTCTCTTTCTCCCTCCCTTTCCCTCTCTAAAAATAAATAAGTGAAATTTAAAAAAAAAATACACGAAAATTCAGTATGAAAATTGTGTAATACTATCAGAAAGCAAAGAAAGGAACAAGGAAGTGTGAGAGACACAGGGACATGGCATTACAATACAAAGCACAGACACGTGGGTCCTGGAGCTGCTGGGCTCTCCCAGCACCTCCTACTCTATAAGCAACACTGTGTGCTTCATCCAGGGCTTCTGCAGGGAGACAGAGGTTGGGGTGGACTCATCCACCCCCTGACCAAGCTTTGTCTCCACACAGTGGGAGAACTGGTGCAGATGGCTGGTAAGAAATCATGCTGCTCTAGCATGAAACGACCTGGGCAAGAAAGAATATCCCCTGTGCTGCTAATCCCAGGCCACTGTTATGTTACGTTCCTCTTATGAGCTCTAGAGGGCCAAGCTTTGGTTAAACCAAGTCCCCAGCCTCAATTCCCTTTCTGTACTCAGTCCACGGCTGAGAAGAGTCAGACAGGAGGCCAAGTTCCAGCTCTACCCAACTTGACTCTGTCAAGGCCTCAGCATTGCTCTGAGCGCTCACCCCACCTACTGTTCCAAAGGATCTTTAGATTGACTAATTTCATCTAGTTTTCAGAATAAAAACTTTCTTCTTTTTTTCTTTAATCCTCATCCAAGGGCATTTTTTTATTCTTTTTTTTTTCTTTAATCCTCATCCAAGGGCATTTTTTTATTGCTTTTTATTTTAAAATATATTTTATTGATTATGCTTTTACAGCTGTCCCAATTTTCCCCCTTTTGCCCCCCTCCACCACCTACCCCCATTCCCTCCAACAATCCCCGCACCTCTTAGTTCACACCCATGAGTCATGCATATAAGTTTTTTTGGCTTCTCCATTTCCTATACTGTTCTTAACCTCTCCCTGTTTTGTACCTACCATTTATGCTTCTTAATCCCTGCATCTTTTCCCCTATTCTCTTCCTTCCCCTTCCCAACTGATAACCCTCCGAAAGATCTCCATGTCTATGATTCTGTTCCTGTTCTGTTTGTTTGCATAGTTTGTTATTTGGGTTCAATTATTGATAGTTGTGAATTTATTGCCATTTTAATGTTCATAGTTTTGATCTTTTTCTTCTGTCATTTCCTTTAGCATTCCATATAATAAGGGCTTGGTTATGATGAACTCCTTTAACTTGACTTTGTCTGGGAAGCACTTTATCTGCCCTTCCATTCTAAATGACAGCTTTGCTAGATAAAGTAATATAGGTTGTAAGGTCCTTGCTTTTCATCACTTTGAATACTTCTTGCCAGTCCCTTCTTGATTGCAGTTTCTTTTGAGAAATCATTGACCGTCTTATGGGCACTCCTTCGTAGGCAACTCTCTGCTTTTTTCTTGCTGCTTTTAAGATTCTCTCTTTATTTTTAATATTAGGCATTTTAATTATAATGAGTCTTGGAGTGGTCCTGTTTGGGTCCACCTTGTTTAGGACTCTCTGTGCTTCCTGAACTTGTATATCTATTTCCTTCACCAAATTAGGAAAGTTTTCTTTCATTATTTTTTCAAACAAGTTTTCAATTTCTTGCTCTTTCTCTTCTCCTTCTGGCACTCCTATGATTTGAATGATGGTATGTGTAAAGTTGTCCCAGAGGCTCCTTAGCCTATGCTTTTCTTAAATTCTTTTTTTCTTTTTGCTGTTCTGACTAAATGCTTTTTTCTTATGTTCCAGATCACTGATTTGATTCTCAGCTTCATCCCCTCCACTTTTGGTTCCCTGTAGATGTTTCTTCATTTCACTTACTGTAACCTTCATTTCTGCCTGTGTCTTTTTTATGCTGTTGAAGTATCCAGTGAGTTCCTGGAGCATCCTGATATCAGTGTTTTGAACTCTGCATCTGATAGGTTGTTTTTCTGGAGTTTTGTTCTATTCTTTCATTTTAGGCCATATTTCTTTGTTTCTTCATTTTGGCAGTCTCCCTGTGTTTGTTTCTATGGATTAGGTAGATCTGCTTTTTAAAAAATATATATATATTTTATTGATTATGCTATTATAGTTGTCCCATTTTTCCCCCTTTATTCCCCTCCACCCTACACAGCCCCTCCTATCTACATTCCCCACCCCCCTTTAGTTCATTTCCATAGGTCTTACATATAAGTTCTTTGGCTTCACATTTCCTATACTATTCTTAACCTCCCCCTGTCTATTTTCTCCCTAGCATTTATGCTAATTATTCTCTGTACCTTTTCCCCCTCTCTCCCCCTCCCACTCCCCCGCTGATAACCCTCCATGTGATCTCCATTTCTGTGACTCTGTTCCTGTTCTAGTTGTTTGCTTAGTTTGCTTTTCTTTCTGTTTTAGGTTAAGTTGTTAATAACTGTGAGTTTGTAGTCATTTTAGTGTTCATATTTTTAATCTTTTTCTTAGATAAGTCCCTTTAACATTTCATATAATAAAGGCTTGGTGGTGATGAACTCCTTTAGCTTGACCTTATCTGGGAAGTACTTTATCTGCCCTTCCATTCTAAATGAAAGCTTTGCTGAATAGAGTAATCTTGGATGTATGTCCTTGCCTTTCACGATTTTAAATACTTCTTTCCAGCCCCTTCTTGCCTGCAAGGTTTCTTTTGAGAAATCAGCTGATAGTCTTATGGGAGCTCCTTTGTAGTTAGCTGTCTCCTTTTCTCTTGTCGCTTTTAAAGTTCTCTCCTTATCTTTCATCTTGGCTAATGTAATTATGATGTGCCTTGGTGTGTTCCTCCTTGGGTCCAACTCCTCTGGGACTCTCTGAGCTTGCTGGACTTACTGGAAGTCTATTTCCTTTGCCAGAATGGGGAAGTTCTACTTTCTTATTTGTTCAAATAACTTTTCCACTTGTTGCTCTTCCTCTTCTCCTTCTGGTACCCTTATAATTCAGATGTTGGAACGTTTAAAGATGCCCTGGAAGTTCCTAAGCCTTTCCTCACTTTTTGAATTCTTGTTTCTTCATTCTGTTCTGGTCAAATATTCCTTTCTTCCTTCTGATTCATTCAATTGATTTGAGCCCCAGTTTCCTTCCTGTTACTGTTGGTTCCCTGTGCATTTTCCTTTATTTCACTTAGCATAGTCTTCACTTTTTTCATCTAATTGTGACCATATTCAACCAATTCTGTGAGCATACTGATTACCAGTGTTTTGAACTGTGCATCTGATACGGTGGCTATCTCTTTGTCGCTTAGTTGTATTTTTTTTGAGTTTTGATCTGTTCTTTCATTTGGGCCATTTTTTTTTTTTGTCTTCGAGTGCCTGTTGCGTAGTAAGGGGCGGAGCCTTAGGTGTTCACCAGGGCGGGGTAATCACGTCACTGCGTTTGATGCTGTATGTGTGGCTGGGGTCTGAGAGGGAACAATGCTGCTTGCTCTGCTCTCTGCGGTTTTCAGTCACTTCCCCCACTACCCACAATCAAATTGGGCCCTTCTGGTGCTAATTCCCAGGTGGGTGGGTTTGTGTTCATTCTAGGACCCTGTGGGTCTCTCCAATGAACTCTCCTGTGAGGCTGGGAGTTTCTCCCGCTGCCTCAATTCCCACAGGTGTTTTCAACCAGAGGTTTGAGGCTTTATTTCCCTGCGCTGGGACCTTGGGTTGTTCAGTCTGTCTTGCTCCCCAGTTGATCCTCCCAGTTTATCTGCACACAAATGTGGGGCTGCCTGGTCCACCAGCCACCACCTTGCCTGCCAGCTGCCGCCTTGCCGGCCCCAGTCCTTGAGTCACAGCCTTGCCATGAGTCCTCTCCACCTGGCTGCCCATCTCCGCCCCTCCCACTGGTCTGGATGAATGTTTCTTCTTTAACTCCCTGGTCGTCAGACTTCCATACAGTTTGATTTTCTGTCAGTTCTGGTTGTTTTTTGCTTTTAAATTTGTTGTCGTCCTTCTTTTGGTTGTGTGAGGAGGCACAGTGTGTCTACCTACACCTCCGTCTTGGCTGGAAGTCAGTAGATCTGCTTTGATTGTCTGTCTTAGTAATGTAGCCTATTATAGAAAAGCGCACCTGTAAGTTGTATGGGGCGGAGCCTTAGGTGATCACTAGGGCAAGCCAACCTGTGTCACCACTCTGTTGCTGTGCAGGGGAGGGTTCACAAGGGGATGATGCTGCTGCCTGGCCTCTGGAGTTTTGCCCAGGAAGAAGCTGTCTCCTGGCACTTGCCCTTTTGCCAGTCACTTTGCTTTCTCCCCTTATGCCACTGGTGCTCTTCCAGCTGTTGCCCTGGTGCTGAACCCCAGAGAGGGTAGGTCTGCAAGAGTCCTAAGTCCATTGAGGGCCCTTTAAGAGTCTCTTGAGAACTCTGCAGTTTCTTCCACTGCCCAAATCCCACTGGTTTTTACAGCCAGTAGTTATGGGGTCTTATCTTCCTGGTGCTGGAACCCTCGGCTGGGTGGCCTGGTCTGGAACTGGGATCCCTTGCTCCTGATGTATCCCTCCCAATTTTTATCCACCACACGTGGATGTGGGACCGCCTGACTATGTCTGCATCTCTCTGCACCACTCCATGTATCTGTGCCTCCCCATCTCACCCCACCTCTCTGCACATCTCCATCTCCACCCCTCCTACCCATCTGGATGAATGTGGCTTCTTTAAATCCTTAGTTGTTGGACTTCCATACAGCTCAATTTTCTGACAATTCTCGATGATATTTGTTTTGTAGTCTAGTTGTAATTTCTGTTATAGTTGTGCAAGAAGGCAAGATGTATTTACCTATGTCTCCATCTTGACTGATTCTGGAAAGCTTTTTTAAAACATGAAGTACAAAGAACAAAAAGGTAGTGGTGCTGGGGGGTGACACCAAAGCAGTCCTACTTCATTACTTTTTAGAGAGAGGAAAGGAGAGAGGGAGAGAGAGAAACATTGATTCAAGAGAGGAGCATTGAAAGTTACCTCCCACATGCACCCAAACCGGGGACAGAATCTGCAACCCAGGTTGTGCCTTGATAGGGAATTGAACCTGCAACCTTTTGGTTATGGAATGACACTCCAACCAACTGAGCCACACCAACAAGGGTATCCTTTTTTATTATTATTGATTTTTAAGAGAGGAAGAGAGGAAGTGTGTGTGTGGGGGGAGACATCAGTTTGTTGTTCCACTTATTTACGAGTTCATTGGTTGATTCTTGCTATGTGCCCTGACCAGGGATTGAACCCACAACATTGGCATATCAGGACAACACTTAACTGAGCTACCCGGCCAGGGCAAAAAACTACTTTCTCGCAATCCTTATGAATGTTATGTCCTCAGAAAAACCTGTGAACCAGCATTGTGGCAAAGCAGAGTGGCAAAGCCAAGTCTGGGTGTGGGCAGTCAAGGGCATACCCACTGCCAGGACGCCCATGGGTGTGTCTGGAAAAAGGCTCTATCTTCCCTGTCTAGTGGGTGCAGAAGGTGACTGCCCAGCCTCCTCCTAACACACAGCTAGCCTGAGCTGCAAGGTGCCAGTGGCCATCTGAGAAAGGCAGGGTCTGGCTGGGGCAGGAAACTGGGCTCAGACCAGAATCTGCCCTGGGTCCTGGTTCTGGCTCCAGTTCCGTTGCCTCCTCCCTGTGAGGGACTGCGTAGGTTCCTCAGCCTCCCTGGGCTCATCTTGTGGAAAAAGTGAGACAGTTACTTTCCTCAAAGGGACAAACTCCTCCTGGGGTCCACTCTAGCTCTGACATCCAAGGGTATCAGAAAAATGTGGGGTAATTTCTGCAAAGCCCATGTCTCACTCAAATGAAAGACTTGTGGACCAGAGCCCAGGGTGACTGAGAGGGACCTCGTCCCCACAGTTTCCCTCAATGTTTCTGTATCCCCACAGATGTATCCACATCTGCCCAAAAGCCACACATACTAAGAAGTGATCAAATTCCCTCTGCTAAGCCTCCCCGCCACCCTGTCCTCTGCCCCTCTAGAGGACAAAATCCTACCACACTCTGAGATGAAAGAAAAGCTTACCTGAAATGTCAGTGACTTTGATAGTTGTAGCTTGAGGAAAGTTTTTTTTGAGAATTTGGGTTACTTTCAGCTCCCCTTCAGTCTGTGAGGCAAACATCCGCTGGGCACAGTGAAGAAGAGGAATCTGTCCCAGAAGAGAAGAGTCATGGCTGAGCAAGATGACAGTGCCCCTAGTGTCATTTTGCCCCCAGCTGGGCCACTGTGCGGGACCCACCTGCCATTTTCCTTCTAGGCTGGGCCAGCCCATGGCCACGGGATATGTCAGAGGAGTTGTGTGGTGTCAGATGCCCATTTAAGCTCCACAGGATACAGAATAAACTTTCTTGGGGTGGAGGTAGGAGTGATTGTAAATAACTCACTGTGACTCTAGAGACAAGGCTCCAAACCCAATCCAATAGATGTTTAACCTGTCATGTTAATACTGTGAGATACTATCATGATGCCAGTTTTATAGGTGTGGAAACTGGCATTAATATGCCCAAGGCTAGATCCATTAGGAAACACGGAGCAGGGAGAGGCCAGGCAGCTGTGCCCTGCTAACCCTAGGTGTGACCGACCAAGAACTCACTGATGGGGCCAAGTACCCCCACCCTTTAGGCCCAATTAACATTCCAGTCTCTGCAGTGGGATATGACCTTGTGACCTACTTCTCAATAAGCCAGCAACCCTTTGTTACATGAACAAATTCTCACAGAGAAGCAGGAGAATTCTATTAAACAACATGAAGGAGAAACATTTTTAGATTGTTTACCATTGGCAACCACTCTGCCCCACCAACGCCCCTAATGGCTACCACAGGGAGTCAGTGTTCCTGAGGGGTACGTATCTCAACCCTTAGGGGGTGAAGGGCAGAAAATCAGGTCAGCAGACCCTTGGCTGGGTTGGTACTTTTCTGAAAAAGGAGACTGAAAAGAGCATGGCAGGCCCTGAATGTCAGGCTAAAGATTTTGGACGTAGGCATCTTGGTGCCAAAGTAACCTGAACCAAAGTGCCTTCTGAAGCTAGTCAGGAAAGATGCCCTAATGGGAGTAGCACCAGCTTGGGTCCCTGACTGGAGGAGGATGGCAGGTAGGAAAACACCAGCACATTCTCAAGGGCCGGTGCTAACGGTACCTCCCCTCCATCAGTCCAGCTCATTGTCAAGCCTTTCCTGATGGCCCAGAGCAGGGTCCAGTGTTACAGAATCTCAGAGCACCTTCTTTAAAATGACCTGGGCTCTTTCACCAACATCCCTCAAAGGCCAAGACTGAGGCTGTCCTGTTACTGCTGCCTTCCAGAACTGCGCCCAGGGCAGGCCCTCAGGCAGAGGTGGGTGACGATGGATGGATGGATGGATGGATGAGCAGGGGAAGAACCACACAATTCAGGACATGCCTACTCAGCAGCAGCAAATAAGCATGGGAGGCAGCTGATTTGGACTTAGGCTGTGTGAAGGGAAACAAACTTGATGTTGTAGACCTGGTTAAAACTAGGTTGTGGGGTGGGGTGGAGCCTCTTCGGAGGAAAGAGGCTTGGGAGGCAGAGGGAGGGAATAATCAGGTGGCAGGCAGAAGGGTAATCACTAAGGAGTTAGGGGGTAGTTAGCACTGCAGATTTTTTGGGAGAAGCCTTTTCTTCATCTCAGCAGATCTGTGGGCAGCGGCCTTAATCAGGCAATCCCCAAACGTCACGGGTCCACTCTAAAAGCCACCTGCAGAACTTCTTCCAGGAGACAGGTCTAAGACCAGCAGGGGAGAAGGAAGAATAAGAGAAGAAAGGAAAAGAAGTGGATGAAGTGAGGCAAGGGTGAATCAGAGAGGGGGAGAGAAAACTAGGAAAGCGCGTAGTGAGTGCCCTCTGCTGGGCTTCGACTCCTCCGGCTGCGTGGGATTTTAGGCGGGCCAAGGTCAACGAGGCCGGAGGACGTTCCCACAGTCCAGACCCCATCACATTACCCGGCACCCACACTGTGACCCTAGGATGACTAGGATTCCTATGTCTTTGGCTCGAAAGATCAATACTGCCTGCCCGTGCCGGCTGCATTACGGCTGTTTAGGCGTCTGTTTCCCTCGGCCGACCTCCACCCAGCTCGGGAGGACCCCCAGAGCACGGCCCGACACGTCTCTGAATCCGGTTGCCGGGGCCCACTGAATGAACGAACCAACTAACGCTTGAATGACAGAAAGGACTCAGAGCCCGCTGCCCCGGCCCCACGGGCCCTCCGCAGCCCCCGCCCCGGGGCGTGCTCACCGCGCAGATCCGGCGGAGCAAAAGCGCTGCCGTGGAAGGGCTCCACGCCGCCATGCCCGGCCGACGCGACCCGCAGCCCGAGGTCGCTACGTCTCCGGAAAGGCACGGAGCCCGGGACCGAAAGCCGCCCCGGTGGGCAAGGCCGCCCCCTGCCGCCCGGAGGCCGCGGGCCTCCTGTCTCCCAACGCCGGGCCAGGTCAGTGCCCCAGGGACACGCCACTGGGAACACCGCCGGCTCACAGCCCTGCTCCCCTGATCCCGCAGGGCGCTTCGACACCCTCCCCCCAGCCTCGTTCCACCAGCAGGTCCCTACCCCTCAGCCTAGAAACACTACTTAGGTACCCTCGGTTCGGACTTACCTTCATCCCAGGGCCACTCCTGCTCTAGGCGGAACTTCACTACCCACCCCCTAAACCCTCCCCTGCCCCACAACGTGGCTTCTCAATGGAGGAACTTGGTTTCCTTCCTCCAGAAAAGCGGAGCCGCAGGAGGACACTTGAGCAGGGATGTTGTTTTCAGGTTTGCGTTTTAGCAAGGTCACAGTGGCTCCTGCGAGGGGCAGGAATTGGAGCTGAGGACGGAGGTTCTCAGTCCAGGTAAGTGAGACTTGAGGGTAGACTAGAGTAGCGACAGCAGGGATGGAAGGAGTGAATTGAAATATTTGAGAAGTGAACTGTATGCTATGACTGGGTTGGGGGTAAGGAAGGCGTCTGGCATGACTCCCAGAAGTCTGGCTTGAACAACAAAATGGGTGGAGGAGGGACAGGTTGGGCATGAAGGGGGGTAACAAACTCGGCTTTGGATTTGCCTGGGTTTACAGTGCCTAGGCAACACAGCCCACCATAGGCGTAGGCTCCACAGGCCGTAGACTCCCACGAATGTAGTGGAAGCTGATGCCAGGTGTGATTGTCAGCAAAAACAGCCCGGCCTCTGGAGTCCATCAGATAGACATCAAGGCGAAAATTCTACCAAGCCCTTTCTCTCTCTAGTTGTATTTGTTTGCAACACGTGGTCTGTTATATCCTGTAGACTTTACCAAATCTTTTTAGTATTTAATTCTGCCTATCCAAGCAATAAACTTCAGTGTTTCAAATGGATGGGTTGGTCAGACCTACAGTTGTTGTGTTTGTGGGGGGGTTCTTTTAGATTTTATTTTTAGAGGGAGGAAGGGAGGGACTCAAAGAGAGGGAGAGACCCAAATATCGATGTGTGGAAGAAACATCGGATGGATTGCTTCTTGCGTGCCCCAAACTGAGCCCTGACCCAGAATCAACTGGCGAAACTTCTGGGTTTGCGGGAGGACCCCCAACCCACTGAGCCACACCTGGGCACTGGCTCAGTCAGAGCTACAGTTCTTTGAAGTGCTTAGCTAAATATGCCCATTCATTCCAGTATTGTGACTCCTACCTTGTGGCTCTCACTGAATTCTTCTTTGAATTACTGCAATAGCCTCTCACACTTTTTGTTGACTGCTTAAAAATTATGCTCAATTGAGGGATTAAAGAGGGTTTTTTTCCCACTGATGTTAATGATATAATTAAAACTGCCAAAAATATTTTATCTATTAGTGTAGTGGTGAACCACCCCTTTGCTACTCAAACCATGTGGTTCAGATGAGATGTGATCACTAGACCCAGGTCCTGTCAATAAGACACAGGAACTAGTTTAGGGTTGGTCCCAATGAGATGGTCCAGGGAATTTTATAGAACTAAAAAAAAAGATCATTTCCAACTGGATTGCTAAACTGGTAGAAAGCCTACTGCTGGCAGCAGCCTTTACAATCCCTTGGGCAGAGCCACTTTGGAAATGAAGCAGACAGAAGAAAGCAGAGATGAGAGGAGACAAATTTGACATTGCTTGTGCGACTGGAAGCCAGCAGTGCCAGATATGAACACTAGCCATTTTAGTAGGTTACCTTAAAAATAAAAAGAACTTTCAAAGTGAGAGGCAAACAAGTGTTTATTTGAGATTAGTAAGAATGGGTATTTGGGAACCATTAATTCGGGCAGAAGCCCACAAATAATGTTCTGATTAGGCAACAAAGGCAGTGGGCATGAGAAAGGAAAAGAACAATTACATCATTAGAAGGAAAGCATTTCTATTGGTGCAGATATCATAGTGATGTGACTTTTAAAGTGTTTTTAATCTTCAGTCCTGTAGTCATAATAACTTTTTGTTATCTTTGCAAACAGTTGGGAACACAGTTGCTTAGACCCAATCCAAAAGCTATACTCCAAGGTGTGTTTTAAGCCATGCAAGGCAGTTCGGCTCCATTTTGAAGTGTCTCTTTTTATATTATTGTTTACATTTGTCACTTGCAACTGAGAGACCCATGTTGAATTCGATTTGTATTTGCAGAATTCCTCCTTTATTGAAAATCAGCACTTTTACTTATCTCTGAAGTTCTTCCCTATAATTTAACAATTTCTCCATTATTAATTTCCCCATAATTTAACATTATCTGCTATCTTGGATTACTGATACTCTGCCCTAGCACCCTCCCCTGCTCTGTTTCCACACTGCCAGCAGAGCCATTTGAGATGAAAATCTGTTATTTGCTTAAAATCCTTCAGACTCCCCAACACCTACAGGCAAAAACCCTACTTCTTTTATACAACTTATCTCCTATCTACCTTTCAAACTGAAATCCATCCTTCACTAGTAATGACGACTTGTACTTCCCCATACAAGCTATGCTGCAAGTTTGGTTATCACTTACCCATCTTTTAAGCCAGTCCAAGCCTTCTCTTCTGCAGGGAGCCACCTCTGACTGACCCCCAGTAAACGAAGGGCCCACAACTTGTGTATAACTTTTATTATATGAGGCCCTTGTTTATTACGTGTGTTCCTCCCACTGGCCCATAAGCTCCATGACAGGATCTTGTTTTATCATCTACTGTACGATCAATGGCCCAGGATGGTGTGAGACGGAAAGCGTGTGCACTGTAATTATTGAACAGAACTGATAGTGATTTAATAGTTCTAGTTCCACCGTGAATCTGAACCTTTTCAGAAAAGAATCTGTAGAACAATCTCACCAATCTTGGCCTTCCAGATTAATCCCAATTTAACAGAGTTCAAGTATGATTTTATGACAGAAGTCAGTAGAAAGCCACTTTTACCCTAAGTATAATGCTGTTAGTCCCAGGTCTGTCTCTTCTGGATTTTATTTTTTTGCCTTGAACTTGAGATCCTCTTATCTTTACTTGTGTGGGTCCATGACCTCTCCCAGATTTCATAGCTACATTTACACCTGAGCTAGCTGCAGAAAACTCCTTAGGTGGGATCTATTTGAATATGTCTTTCATACGTTCTCAGTAAAAAATTAATTGCAGCCCTTTTATAGAACCTCCTAGCATTCTTAAACACACAGAATTTTTAAAAATGCAACTTCGAGGAACAGACCTACCTCACTATGAACTATTTGAAGTCTGAGCTTTCATTACCCTGAAAAAGTCCTAACATACATCTCAATTGCCAACCTCTTCCCCAGGTTGCTGTATTAAATGAGCCTATGAAAGAACTCCCTAAAACAGGTAAGTTGCTTTAAGGAAGGGATATTCAAAGTGCTAGTCAGCCATGAAATAAGGAGCTTGACATCAGAATCGGAATCAATAATCTTACTTCATTTAGTAAACATGCTACAAAAAATGTCAGTAAAACTGAACAGTGTGCTTGGATACTTACATTCTGGTGAAAACCCCTTATCTTTTCACAGAACAGTAACAAAAAGCTCACAGAGCAGCAGCAGTCCAAGCTTTTGGACCATCCAGATCTTTTAAAGTTTTGCTGTAAACTCTGAACCCTTAGGTAAAACCCAGAAACTTTTCCCCGGTCTCTCTTGTAGCCAGGACTGAAGTATGTGATCTAGGAACTGTCAATCAAAGGCATCTGTGTCAGTTTTTGATTAGGAAGACACACAAAAGAAGATACTAGGTAAAATCCTTCATTCTGGTCAGGACTCACACATGTAGCTTTTGGGAGATGCCACAGACTGACATCTAGTGGTCAGCCATAGGGGATGCAGGCTGTAGTGTCCATACTGAGCCAGACAGCAACCTGTTAGAGGAGGCCCAAGACATGGTTTAGGACATCATTTCTGGTTGTGAAGCTTTGAAGCCTGACTCTGGCCCTTCCAAAGATTATTTGGGTTACTCTACTACTCATTTATAAAGTTTGAAATAATGTTCAAATTTAGCCATTAGACACCCATACAAACTTAATATTTTTGTGGTCAATTTTAGGACTAATAAAAAAGAACTATCCCCAAAAATCCAACTGACTGTAGCTTACATTCAGTTGTAAGATTGCCTTTAAGATGTAACATTTGTCTTAAGGGCAATGAGTGTTAACCCCTATTATTTAACCACACTAAGTTTTTAATTTTAACTTCACTCAAAAAAGGTCAAAACAATTCTAGCACTGCTATTTTGAATAGACCTACAATCAGTTCTAATATTTCTCCAATAATGAAAACTGACTCTCTGGGGGGAGGAGGGCTGTCTTTCAGATAATGCTGAGTACTAAGTTCCAACGTCAGAAAATTAAGGAGTCTGGTCTCTCCTCTTCCCTTTTCTCAATCTCACAGCCAGGAAAGTACAAGGGGTCAAGAGCTTGGAGACCAATTTTTTCAAGAGCTTGGGTTTTAGCCACTGTACCCTTTCTTCTAAAATTAAGAAAACATTTTAACTACTAAATGATAAGACAACCTTGTACAGAAGCTGCAAAATTATCAAGTTTCACAAATAACATATTCAGACACATACTTTAGTCATTTCAATATATTTTATTCTGATGAAGTTACAAAAGTAGATACAAAATACCTTTTTGTAAAGTACAGTTAACTGACTTAGAAAAATAGATAAAGCCCCTAAAGGTTTAAAAATATAAATTTTCATGTAAAGAACATTTAAAAATATTTTAGATGGTAACCAAGACTAACTTATGCAAGCTATTTTTCTATGTGGACCAAACACAGAATGTTCTATAATCTATAGCACACCAGCAATCCATTTGGATTTACAGAATACTTGTTTGGAATACAATCTGATGAGAGAAAACTCAAGTGAATTTCAATGCAGTTGCTTCAATAAAATTACTGCTATCACATATAATATCCCCCCAGTCTTTTACAGTCTGAAATAGCAAA